TGATCTGAGGTTATAATAATTAGAGGTTGAGGTGAGTCGAAAGAACCTTTCAGCCCTCCTGACTTTTGTCCTTTTCTCAGAAGACTCCAATTAACCAAATACCATTACACACAGGCCTTTCGGGAGACAGTTATTTGTTCAAGAGTATCAAATGTCCCAAGTTCTTCTCCTTTTAAACAAAGTGTCTTTAAATCACTAATTAATATGACCTCAAATAACCAGCAAGATACTGTCAGCACTCATGGACAAACAAATCTGTCACCTAAAAACATACAGGCAGCCCTCCACCAATCACAGTATGCATCATCTTCCCAAGGTAAGAGGAAACTCTACACTTCTAGAGTAAAGAGTTACCTGGCCTTTCCACCAGAAATAAAAAGTAACTATGTCTAACGAAAATAAAGACAACATGGAGGCATGCTGATTTCATTCTCTGCGTTATCAATGGGAATTAATCCACACACATACAAAAGAAATCCTAGAAAGAAATACATCATTGTCATCTCTATTCTTCCCTATTCCCATAAACCACCTGATTTGAAATCTAATTGAGTCAACTTGGAGCTTTGTCAGTTGTCCAAACTGAGACGATGAATCTCTTCTAATCTAACTCTATGAGTACCGTGAGAAAAAAAGTTCCTACCATGACTAATTCAAACTCAGATTTTAAATGTATTTTCTCCTCTGGTACTTCTGATAGATCTCAAAAAGAGAAAAAGAAAGAAAGAAAAAGAGAAGCAAAACTATTTTCGGGATTCTAGTGTGTAGAAGACACACTGAAAAGAGCACAGCATGAAGTGCCATTGCCTAAGGACTCTGGCCATAAAAGCAGTGACCATTCCTGACCACATGAAGGAGACAACAGAGCCTGACAGGTGAACCACTTCTAACTACCCACCTGTCATGTGGGGCTCACTTTAGAAAGTATTTGAAATGGTCTCATCAAGACCATAGGCCCCAGTTAGATATGTCCTGTCAATCATATTTTAAATTTAAATATTTTACATTCATATAATAAAGGAGCCTTCACTATGACCTATTATGAAAGGTCCAATTACTCAAAAATACAGCACGGCAATCACCCTTTCTGAAAGATCATATGAGGAATAAGGAGAATGATCAAATGATGGGTTTAGAAAGTAAAGAAATCTTAAAAATATAAACAGGATAAGAACAAAAGGAGGAGAAAGGCAAGAGTCAGAGGAAAAGAAGATTCTTAACGAATCAACCAGAACTCTCACTATATTTTTATTGTACATATTTTCTTTGTCACCTCAGGAAAGATGCTGATCTTAGCCCCTGACAGGAAGGGGGGTGGATGCGCAAACATTCCCTTCCACTCACAGGCCTGTGGGCATTTTTGTTCACAGAAAATGAATGCTATTGACAGAAAAGAAAAAAGCAAGAGAGAGATGTAACAGAGAGCCCTGATGTGCTCACTGACTCTTTGTTCTTCCCTGCAGCCATTTCATGGACACATGTACAAATGCAAACCTCCAAGCATTGGGGCTAGCAGAAACCACCTACTTCTTGGTGCTGTCTTACACAAACAGGACGAAGCCCACGTGTCTGGGGTGGGGAAGGTCGGGCTCATCAGTCTGACATAGAAGGGTGGAATGGATCACTCCAAGTATAGATCCTGCAAATGAGCTCAGTCATTTCACAGGCACTAAATGCTTCCGATGTCCTGTACAAACTGCAGGGCACCCAAAGGGAAGATACACCTGTACCCCTGAGAAATGCAAAATCTAACAGAAAAACAAAATGCAGCATACATATACTATACATATACATATATGCACGTTGTGGAAAAAAAATGTGTTTTTGAAAAATGCCTAAAGACCCAAGTCAGAATCAAACTAAGCAATCGTGATTACAGCTGGGCTGGGAGGATGTCAGTCACACTAAGCACGTGTCCAGCACCTACTTTTTGCCAGGTCCAGCTCTAGAAGCTGGAGACAGAACAAGAGACCAGGCATAAAGAGGTCCTTTCCTATGGAATTTCTGAAGGGAAGGCAGGCATTGACCAGCTAAACATGCAGCTGATTATTGAATTATAACTGTGGTAAACGCATGAAGGAAGAGAGCAAACGACAAGAGCGCCTGTCTAGATGAGTCCTTGTAAAAGGCTTCCAAGAGAAAGTCAAAACCAAGAGGAGTCACTTGGTAAAGAGGAGCAGGGGACAGGGAAAGGGGAGGTACACAGGCCCTGCTGTGGGGAGGAAGGTGTGTACCGAAGAGGAAAAAAGTTCAAGATGCGGCAGGTGAGGTATAAGCAGCTCAGGGGAAGGGTGCAGGGCCACATTGCCAAAACTTACAGCCGTGCAGGACTGTGTGCACTGAGATGTGAGGTGTGTGGGGACGCTGGCACCAGGAGGGAGCAGAGTCATGGCTACAGGGGGAGAGGGATGTGCCATGGGTCAGAGACAAGCAGAGTCCAGGTGCTGCCTGTTTATGGTTGCTGGATCGAAGGAAGGTTCAACGAATCCCAGGGGAAAGGAGCAGGTGGATGGCACCCCCAGGGGATTAGGGGGAGCAAAAATTCATGAGAGCAAGTAAGGGACAGACCCCTGCCCATGTCGCTCCTGAGCAGCAGCCCCCCAGGAGAGACTGGTTGTTCCAGGAACTCTGCGTTAGTCTGTTCCCTCCTTCACAGAAACTCCAAAGTGCAAATTAGCCATCTAGCCAGCTTCGAGGTGATCTTGTTGCTCACGGACTGAACTCTGCAGGTAAGGTGAAGACGAATGCAATTCAAACGCAATACCAAAGGCAACAGAAACAACCATGTACATGCAGGGAAGCCACACAGCCCTCTGTGGGGGCCACTGTCAGAGCACCAATTCGTGTGGGTCACCAAAAGTCCTAAATAGAAAATAACAGCTACTCCACACGCAAACAGCCACAAGTGGTAAGTGCTTTAAGAACCTTAGCAACAAAGAGCTGCAGGAGTTCACGGACAGAGAATTCATTTCTAATAGAGATAGCAATGGAAATCAACTCTAGAAGAATCGACATTTTTTTAAAGGATTCAACAGGTGCTGCTTAGAAGATGGGCTTTATGAGTGCAGACGATGGGGTGAGAAGGACATAAGTGCTATTCAAGGACTGACGTTCACATCACCTGGTTTGAATGAAGTTTAAGGACACATAGGGACACAGATGAGGACAAGACTACACGGGAAAAATCCAGTCAGATTCTGTAATGTTGGAACTTTATCCTGCAAGCCAAGATTCTCAACTCTTTTTCTGCTAAAAACCAATGCCATATTATTTTTTATGTAATAGCTATGACTGAAACCCTTTCCTCTCCCATTTTAGGAAAGCATATTGGGATACAATAAGTGAAACTGACGCAATGACATGAATCTTCTCCCCTTCTCTGTGAAGGCAATCATACACGAACTTCAGTACTTTTGAAGCTAACCATTATTTTGTTCTCAGCTTAAGCTCTGTTATAAATGCTTGATAGGAATTAATGCATTTAAACTTCATAACCACTCTAGGAGATACATACCCTACACTACCCTGGAGCCAGAGGACACTGCTATAATTACAGGAAAGAGAGAACAGTCAGAGAACAACGATGGGTAAAGAGATATAAATAAGTATTGTGCAAAACCAGAAGAGCACAAAACTTGGTAGATGCCAGGACATGGGGAGGGGGGTGGGGTGTTGAGCCATCTGGGGTCCCCTCTTGGATAGCGGCAGTGGTGGTCCAGCACTGCGGTGGACCACCTTTCAGGACACAGTGACTGATCCCTCAGATGCAGAGTGCTGCCCTCAGCAGCTGTCCTCAACTGGAAAGGGCACTGCATCCGAGATCATGCTCCTCCGGGAGCAGTGGCATCCAGGGCCCGGGCAGAACGATGACCTGGCCCCTCCCCACACAATAAGAGGTCTCTCCAATGGGCCGTCCCAGCTGCATAGGACTCGCTGGCGCCACTGAGACCACATCCCCTAGCTGTGAAGGAGTAGTGCATCACCAAGGGTGACCTGCCTCCAGCTGCTGGTCAGAGAGGGAGTAGAAAGGCCCAGCACCCTCAGAACAAGGCAGGACAACCCTACAGGGCTGTCCCAGCTCAGGGCTCTCCATGGGCCGGCTGAGGCCCACCTTCTCTCTCTGTCCACTCTGGCCTCTTTCTCTTCCCTTCCCAATGAACCTTCCACACATTAGTCTCCATATCAGGGAACACTGCCCCAAGAACCCACTGGCACCACGCACCAGACCAGGGCAAGTGGCGCAGGCGGGAAGCAGGGTTGGGGCAGCTGAGTCCCATGTCTGAGGGGCTGATTCCCAAGTGTCTGGGCAGCCTCCCCGGGGAGAAGGCCCACAGCAGCAAAACAGACGTAGGTGGACCAGGGGTGGAAGCTGGGCTGGAAATAAACGGATAATGACTGAAACGCAAAAGGCAGATGACCCCCAAGAACAGCATGAGAAAAGAAGATGGCCAAGGAAAAAGCCTTGAAGGAAAGCGGCCTTGGCATGTGGGCAGAGATGCTGCGCAACCCTATGGGAGCCAACACCAGCAACCCTAGCCTTTGGTTCTGAAAGGCAAGACAGAAGTTACCCCGAGGGCTGGTGACAAAAGGGCATGAAGGGGCCCTGTGCGTCTGGTCATGTTCCATTTCTGATCTGGGTGTCAGTTACAGGGTGGCCATTTTGCAACCATCACTGAGCTGCACTCTCATGAGCTGTGCACACCTCTATACCCATGCTGTACTTTGACATCTGCGTTTTATCAAATGCAGGAGGGAGGCCACACAGGAGGCTGTGCCAGGAAAAGAGGGTGAGGAGGAGGACGAAGGCAGCACACGGGCACCCGGAGAGGGAAGCAGAAGGGAGGTGTTGGGCAAGGGGAGCACAGCACCTTCTCACCACAAAGAGCTGGGCAGCATCACCCACCAACCTAAACCCAAACCCCAGGTCTATGTGAACCAGCGTCTGGAGTGCTCGCATTCATAGTCCCTTGAAAAAAACGATCACAGTTGAACTCACTCACCCTGGTCTGACAAGAAGTCCAGCATGGTCTGCAAGAGGAAGGACAGGTGTCTGACAGAGAGAGCTGGGTTCCCCATTCTTCGGGAGGCATAGACCAACTCATGGAGCAAACGCATCTGGACAGCAGCCCAGCCTCGGTGGGTGCCTGCAGTGGAAATTACAAAATGTCATACAAGAGCTTCGAGAGGGTGCAGGAAATACGGTTAATGTTATGTCCACAACTTGGCAATTTGAAAACAAATGCCTCAACTATCAAACTCAATGAGCAATAAAATATTTCCCCTGTGTTTACTGATCCTGGAAAAGAACTCTAAAGCACCATGTCTTTCATACGCTAAAATAGGTTTTATATGATGGTTTCTCTCTTCTGTAAAGACACAATTTCAAAAATATCCCACTTTGAAACAATTATAACAAGCTTATAACAAAAGATTATGTTTTCAGTGGCATGTATTTGAGTCATAGACATAAATTTTTCTAAGAAAATACTGATATTTAATTGACCTTAATCATCAATAACCAAGGACAGTAAATTAGAAAGTACAGCATTTCTCTAAAGTCTAAGAAAAGTGCAGAAAAGTAGACAGCTAAGTTAGGAAAAAAAGTTATCAATGAACTCTCATGGCTGCTCCCTCCAAAACAGTTTAGCAGGTTTGAAATTAAAGGTAGGGAATGCAGAGGCACAGCCAATTGAAAACTCTCTCCCCAGGTAATCATAGAGTTTTATTTATTCCATTTCTTTTGGCAACATTACTATTTTTAAATATTTTTCACCTTAAAACCCATCATGAAGAAGATGTGGTAATAGGAACCCACAACAAACAAGTCACCACAAAGTGCTGTGAATTTAGGGGCTTAAGGGTCTTGGGGAAAAGTCACGGGGAAAAGATTTAAGATGTGAGTGTCAGTCATATTAGGCCTGGTTCAAAGAAGTTGCTGACTCGGGCTCCCTCTCAAGCTACCCAGACTTCACTGACCCGGTGGATGACCCCAGGGACCTCTGCTGCAGCAATGTTCACACACCAGGCTGGTGAGCAGAGCCACTCACTGGGATGGTAGGATACAGACTGCAAAATACCCCCTACACCACAAGACTCAGATGTCAGTACACCTGGAGTGAGGTCGGGAATCTGAGTCTTCATACACACCACACCCCAATGACTCTATACCCAGATTGTAAGTCACTGCTCCAGCTGACCCAAAACTTAGGTCATGAAAAAACACAGAAAGGTGAATTCAGGCTCAGACAAAACAAACATTCACTGAAAGTCTATAATAGCTCATGATAGTCAGTCAACTAACAAGTATTTGTTGAGAACTTAATACTGTCCAAAGTAGGTATGGGAAAAAGAGTAGGGAGACAAGGTACCTGCCCTTATGGTACCAACATCCCTGTGGGGAGAGCCAGACAATGAGCCTGTGGGAAACAGGTGCACTGGTGAATGCTGTGAGGAACACAAATAATCAAGGTGACAGCTGGCGGGGTGAGTGGTGCTGTATCAGCTGGGGCAGGTGGGCAAGGTGCCGTGATGAGAAGACAGCAACACCAAACCATAAAATGGAGACAGTGGCAGCATGTGTCATCGAGTCATCAGGTTTAAATGCGATGACCCATTTAAAAGCACTTTAGTAGTATATTTACCCTAAATTCTCAGTAAATGCTAGTTGCTATTAATATTATTATTCAATGAATATAATGTGGTTAACACATAACATCAGCCTTTGAATCCAGCTGTGAAATGATTAATGATCCAACCTGTTCCGTTGTTTCACCAAGAATGAATCCTCCATTTTTCAGATCTCTATTGATGTATTTATTAGGTAAAATTACCTGTCTGTGTGTCAGAATCCCCTGTTCAGGCTGTGAGCTCGCTTCTGTACTTGAAGACTGTGTGTACTGTGTGTAATAAATAACTGCATCCCAGGACAGGGCCTGGCACGGAACTGGGTACTTAGTCAATGTTGACTGACATGCGCATGGAACAAGAAAGGCAGCCTCCTCCACCACTCGGAGAGCATAGATCTTCCTCCTTCTATTCTGACCTCTCTCTGTTTGCTCAGTAACACTGAGACTTCCCGCCAAGGGTTCCTCTCTCACAGGCCTTACTCACCTCTTACTCACCCACCACCCTGCCCTGCACAGCTGACCAGTCCCTCTTCTGTATTTCCACTGTATCCTGCACACATTTCAGCCCATAGGAATTATCTGACAGGTACAGCAAGGCACCTGCAAGCTTATGTACATATTTCTTCCACCAATCTTCAATTTCCCTGGGAGCCAGGTTTGTGTCTTAGTCACCCAAACATCCCTGATGCCTAGCAGGATGCCTGACACATAGCGGGTACTTAAGATGCATGTGGATCAAGATTAAAGTCTGGTGAGAGAAAATTGTCCTATTTCTTAGACATTTCTATGTACTCAAGTACATAGAAATGAAATGATGTGATTTCTGGGATTTGCTATAAAATACTTCAAAAAAATGAATGAAAAAAAAGGCAAAAATAAAGTCAATGTGCAAACATGGTAAAATCCTGATGACTATTTAATCTGGGTGATGGACTCATTGTTCTATTCTTTCTAATTTGTATGTATTTAAAATATTTCATAATAATTTTAATTGAAATCCTTGGAGCTGACCACACACACACATGCAACTTTTTATCCTAGTATTTTATCTTTTGTAATATAAAATGGAAGCACTTCTCACATAACTATAGGAAAGGAGAAAGAGATAAATCCCTCCAATATTCTACATTGTCAAAAGAAGCTAAGACCAAATGCCTAAAGAATTAAGAAGTCAGCCGGGCACAGTGGCTCACACCTGTAATCCTAGCACTCTGGGAGGCCGAGATGGGTGGATGGCTCAAAGACAGGAGTTCGAGACCAGCCTGAGCAAGAGCGAGACCCCGTCCCTACTAAAAATAGAAAGAAATTATCTGGACAGCTAAAAATATACATATAGAAAAAATTAGCCGGGCGTGGTGGTGCATGCCTGTAGTCCCAGCTACTCGGGAGGCTGAGGCAGGAGGATCGCCTGAGCCCAGAAGTTTGAGGTTGCTGTGAGCTAGGCTGACGCCACGGCACTCACTCTAGCCAGGGCAACAGAGTAAGACTCTGTCCCAAAAAAAAAAAAAAAAGAATTAAGACGCCAAAATGAACATCATTACCAACCTAGCCATGAATTCAAAAAGACCCAATTTAACTAATCTCGACACTACCGTATCAAGAATGTTTTTTCACATAAGAACTGGGCAAATATCACTTTGCTAACTTTTTAAAAGATAATGATCCAGCTCCTATCACAGAAAGGGGGCAGAGCAGGATGGCCGAATAGAAACCTCCAGCAATCGTCCATCTGCATGAACACCAAATTCAACAACTATCCACACAAGAAAACACCTTCAGAAAAACCAAAAATCAGAGAAAGATATCAGTTCCTATCCCAGGCGATTATGAGTGAGACAGAGTATAAATTTTCTTAACAGCAAATACAGTACTAATCATAAATAATTTCTATGTGATTCTAAGTACTTCCCCTATAAAATACGAACTCTTTTTTCTTAACACTGATTTGTGATAAAATTTTCAACACTCTTATAATCAAAAAGTTCACCAATTTGGGGGTTTATTACATACATTGACTACTGCCTTTTAACAAATCCATTTGTCTTACCAGTCTCTTTCACAAGAGTTCCTGGGGAAAATTTAATACTGTTCAGGAAAAGACTGAGTAAAAGGCATGATCAAAAATCTTCACATTAAAAAAAAAAAGCAGCAACACAGATAAGATTAAAATGATCATAAGCAGCCCCGTAAACCAGCAAATACACACAGCACACATCTGTGTTCCTACCTAACTCCCTGCAAGCAGCTAGTGAGAAAAAATGTTCATCTCAAGAAAAAGATATATTTTCAGAACCTGAAAATACAGACAACTTACCTTGTATTCACAGGTACAAAGTTTTAGTAGATTTCCATTTAATTCTCTGAGAAATGTTTAAAGTGGTCCAGAGCAACAGCAGAAATGGGGTTTAAGGTGATTTTTTATTTTTTGTTAAAAATGTAACCAGCTGCCACATATCATTTTTATATTATTTGATCTCAATCCTTTACCCCCTTTCCCTACCATCTTTCACAAAATGATGGCAAGTATCTCCTCTTCCTGAAACAGAAGTCTAAGTAAAAAGCACCAAATCACTTGGAAGTATGCTTATTTGTTTTACTTTTCGAAATAAACATGTTTCATTCATCAGGCTTAAAAATTAAGAGTAAGAAACAAACTCTATTCAATAAATGGCAAGAAACACGTTGTAGTGGCTCGTTAGGGTTTGGTCCCACATTATACATACTTAGTTGGACCCTACATGGAGCAGTGCAGGGGACCCGGTGAGACCCAGGGGCCTCTGCTCTTGCAGGGCCTGCAGGCTAGAGGAGAAGGCAGATGTTAAATAACCATCCCCAATTTCTTTTAATGTATTTGAAAATTATGAGAAGTGCCATGAGTAAGAACAACAGGATTCGATGAAAGAGAAAAATAAAATGATTCCACTTGGGCTGAAGGGACCACAGGGACCTCTGTGAAGCTGAAGAAATGGCATTTGGCTGAGACCTGAGGATGACGGGGAGTTAGGCAGGGAAGAACAGGGGAAGAGCGTTCCTGGAGGAAGGAGGAGCCATTGGAAGACCTTAGACTCATGTATTCTCAGATATAGATAATTGCTCCGGTATAAAAAGCAAAAATTAAGACAACTTCTATTGTAACTTACATAGAGCCCAGGAGGCTTGCTTTTACCCTGAAGCCAGCCTGGAGTTATAATCAAAGGATACCCAAAAAAGTAACTGAAAAGCAATTTAAATCTTCCCTGAAGCCTCTCAGAAGCACACCAAATGGGGATTCTATTCACAAGTGCACAGAGAAACCCATTAAAACACATTCTCGTCTCTCTGAAAAGCAATAGGGTGACTGCACTAAAAACTCTCTCTTCCCTCTTCCTAAACACTACACCACCCCCTGTCCCCACTCAATCAAATTTCTCCAGAATAAAGCCTAATTGAGTTTAGACACTCAACTCCCTCTCCTCAGACTCTGGGATCTATACTCTTCTCTTCTGTCAGTAACTCTTAGCCTTTTAAATGTAAATCCT